AACCTAGCCCTACAGAAAGTTCTGGAAGGAAAACTCAAACCCAAGGAAGTTAACAACAACCAGAAAAACATAGGCATTAGATAATCCCACCTTAGCAACAGCCAAAAGAAAGAGGGGTGGAATTCCACACATAATTCCACCACCACCAACCATTCCAAATAAAAGAAGAATGAGCAATCAATGGTCATTAATATCCCTCAACATTAATGGCCTTAACTCACCCATAAAAAGACACAGGCTAACAGAATAATTTGAAGACAGAACCCATCCTTCTGCCGCATGCAAGAAACACACCTCAGCCTCAAAGACAGACATTACCTCAGAGTTAAAGGTTGGGAAAAGATTTTCCAATCAAATGGACCCAAGAAACAAGCAGGGGTAGCAATCTAACGAATTAGACTTTAAAATAAAATCAATTAAAGAGATGAAAGAGGTCATTACATACTCATCACAGGAGAAATGGACCAAGATGAAGTTTCAATTCTGAACATCTATGCCCCAAATACAAAGGCATCCCATTCGTAAAAAAAAAAACATTACTAAAACTAAAATCACATATAGAGCCCCACACACTTATAGCTGGAGACTTCAACACCCCACCTCACCACTAGACAGCAATACCAGACAGAAACTTAAAAAAGAAGCAAAGGGACTAATAGAAGTTATGACCCAATTGGGATTAACAGACATCTATAGAACATTCCATCCAAATAAAAAAGAATATATACCTTCTTCTCCGCACCATACACAACCTTCTCAAAAACTGACCACATATTTGGCAACATATCTAACCTCAACAGGTACAAAAATATGGAATAACTCCATGCATCTTATCAGACCACAATGAATTAAAATTAGAATTCAACAACAACACAAATTACAGAATCCCTACAAACTCATGGAAATTGAATAATGCACAATTACACCATTATTGGGTCAAAGAAGAAATAAAAAATAAAGACTTCCTAGAATTCAATAAGAATGAAGACACAACATACCCAAACCTATGGAACACTCTAAAAGCATTGCTGTGAGGGAAATTCATAGCAATAAGTGTAACTGGAGAATAGTTACACTAGAGAATTAACAGCAGAGCTGAAAGCTCTACAACACAAAGAAGCAAACTCCCCCAGGAGGAGTAGATGCCAGGAAATAATCAAACTGAGGGTTGAAATCAATAAGGTAGAAACTAGGAAAACAATACAAAGAATCAAAGCAACAGCCGGGCGGTGGTGGTGCACGCCTTTAATCCCAGCACTCGGGAGGCAGAGGCAGGTGGATCTCTGTGAGTTCGAGGCCGGGCTGGACCAATAGCCTCCAAAATAATACAGAGAAACCCTGTCTCGAAAAAACCAAAAAAAAAAAAAAAAAAAGAATCAAAGCAACAAAGACTTGGTTCTTTGAGAAAATCAACAAGATAGACAAACCTTTATCCAAACTTACTAAACGGCAGAGTGTGAACATGCTAATTAACAAAATCAGAAATGAAAAGGGGGACATAACAACGGACACCAAGGAAATCCAGAGAATCATCAGGTCATACTTTGAAAACTTGTACTCCACAAAATTTGAAATTTTAAAGGAAATGGACAATTTTCTGGATAGCTATCACCTGCCAAAATAAATCAAGAACAAATAAGCAATTTAAATAGACCTATAGCCCCTAAGGAAATATAAACAGTCATCAAAATCTCCCAACCAAAAAAAGCCCAGGTCCAGATGGCCTCAGTGCAGAATTCTACCAGAAATTCAAAGAATAGCTTACACCAATTCTTCTAATAGAAGCAGAAGGGTCTTGCCAAACTTTCTATGAGGCTTCAATAACCTTGATACCCAAGCCACACAAAGACACAACTAAGAAAGAGAACTTCAGACCAATATCCCTCATGAACATTGATGCAAAAATACTCAATAAAATACTGGCAAATCGGATCCAAGAACACATCAACACAATCATGCACCACGATCAAGTAGGTTTCATCGCAGGGATGCAGGGATGGTTCAACATATGAAAATCCATCAATGTAATCCACCATATAACCAAGTTGAACAATAAAAATCACATGATCATCTCACTAGATGTTGAAAAAGCCTTTGACAAAAATCAACACCCCTTCATTATAAAAGGTCTTGGAGAGATCCTGGATAACAGGAACATAATGAAAGCTATGTACAGCAAATCAACAGCCAACATCAAACTAAATGGACAGAAAATCAACACGATTCTGCTAAAATCAGGAACAAGACAAGGGCGTCCACTCTGTCCATACCTTTTCAATATTGTACTTGAATTTCTAGCTAGAGCAATATGACAATAAAAGGAGATCAAGAGGATACAAATTGGAAAGGAAGAGGTAAAACTTTCATTATTTGCAGAAGATATGATAGTTTACATAAGTGACCCAAAAAACTCTACCAGAGAACCCTTGAACCTGATAAACACCTTAAGCAATGTGGCAGAATACAAGATCAATTCAAGAAAATCAGTAGCCCTACTATATACAGAAGATAAAATGGCTGAGAAAGAAATCAGGGAAACATCACCCTTTACAATTGCCACAAACAACATAAAATACCTTGGGGTAACCTAATCAAATAAGTGAAAGACCTATATCGCAAGAACTTTGAGTCTTTAAAGAAAGAAATTAAAGAAGCCCTCAGAAAATGGAAAGATCTCCCATGCTCTTGGATAGGTAGGATCAATGTAATAAAAATGGCAATCCTGCCAAAAGCAATCTCCAGATTCAATGCAATCCCCATTAAAATACCAGCACAATTCTCCACAGACCTTGAAAGAACAATAATCAACTTTAATGGAAAAACAAAAGACCCAGGATAGCCAAAATAACCTTATTCAACAAAGCAATATATGGAGGCATCACCATCCCTGACTTCAAGCTCTATTATAGAGCTGTAGTCCTGAAAACAGCTTGGTATTGGCACAAAAATAGACAGGTAGACAAATGGAATTGAATTGAACACCCTGATAATAACACATATGTGTATGAACATCTGATCTTTGACAAAGAAGCTAAAAATATACAATGGAAAAAAGAAAGCATCTTCAATAAATGGTGCTGGCATAACTGGATGCTGGCATGTAGAAGAATGCGCAGAGATCCATGTCTATCGCCATGAACAAAACTTAAGTCCAAATGGATCAAAGACCTCAACATAAATCCAGCCACACTGAGCCTCTTAGAAGAGAAAGTGGGTGGTACCCTTGAAAGAATTGGTACAGGAGACAGCTTCCTGAACATAACACCAGTAGCACAGACACTGAGGTCAACAATTAACACATGGGACCTCCTGAAACTGAGAAGCCTCTGTAAGGCAAAGGACACAGTCAACAAGACAAAAAGGCAGCCCACAGAATGGGAAAAGATATTCACTAACCCCACATCTGACAGAGGGCTGATCTCCAAATTTACAAAGAACTCAAGAAGCATGTCTCCAAAACACCAAAGGATCCAGTTAAAAAGTGGGCTACAGAACTACATAGAGAATTTTCAATAGAGGAGTCTAAAATGACTGAGAGGCACTTGAGAAAGTGCTCAACATCCCTAGCCATCAGAGAAATGCAAATCAAAACAACTCTGAGATACCATCTTACTCCTGTCAGAATGGCTAAAATCAAAAACACCAATGGCAGTTTATGCTGGAGAGGTTGTAGAGAAAGGGGAACACTCCTCTACTACTGGTGGGAGTGCCAACTCACACAGCCACTTTGGAAATCAATATGGAGATTCCTCAGACAAGTGGGAATCAGCCTACCACAAGACCCAGCAATTCCACTCTTAGGCATATACCCCAAAAGATGCACATTCATACAACAAGAACATCTGTTCCACTATGTTCATAGCAGCATTATTTGTAATAGCCAGAACTTGGAAGCAACCTAGATGCCCCTCAACTGAAGAGTGGACAGAGAAAATGTGGTACATTTACACAATGGAGTACTATTCAGCAGAAAAAAAAACAATGGAATCCTGAAATTTGCAGGCAAATGGATGGCACTAGAAGAAACCATCCTGAGTGAGGTAACCCATTCACAAAAAGACAAACATGGTATGTACTCTCTCATATATGGATTTTAGACGGAGATCTGGGGAGTGCCAGCCTACAATCCCATGGCCAGAAAGTCTAGGAAACAGAACCTTCATTCAATGGCTGATGGAAGCAGAGCCAGACTCCCACAGCTAAACACTGAGCTGAACTCAACAAACCCAGTGACAGAGAGGGAGGACTGATGAACAAAGGGGTTAAGACTGGGCTGGTTTAACCCCCAGAAACAGCTGACCTGAGAAGGGGTAGCTCTTGAATCCTAGACTAATGGCTGAGAATCTAGCATGGGACTGATCAAGACCCCCTGAATGTGGGTGTCAGTGAGGAGGCCTAGGCAATCTATGGGGCCTTGGGTAGTAGACCAGTATTTATCCCTGGCATACAAATGGACTTTGGGTGTCCATCCCACAGTGAGAGATGTATTCCCAGCCTGGACTCTTGGGGGAGGGTCTAGGCCCTGCCCTAAATGAAATGACAGACTATGGACACCCCCATGTAGGGCCTCACCCTCCCTGGGGAAAGGAGGGGATCTTGGGGGGTTTGGTGGGAGGGCGTGGGAGGAGGGGAGGGAAAGGGAGAGGGACCTGGGATTGACATGTGAAGCAACCTTGTTTCTAATTTAAATTTAAATTTAAAAATAAAAATTAAAAAAAGAAGAACCCTGGGCAACACAGTAAGACTGCCGGTCAAAAAAGTTTTTAAAAACCAAAAAGAAAGAAGAAATTATTTCTAAATACTTTTCCAAAACAAAATTGCTAACATATTTTGCTTGCTCCTATCAAATTAAGAAATTAAGATAAAGTCAATCAACACCAACTAACCTTATTTAACTATATATATATATATATATATATATATATATATATATATATATAATTTATTAGGTAAAACAGCAATCTATTATATAAACATTCCTCTCTGAGTGTTTTCATTACCTCTGAATTAGCATATTCTGATTGTAACTTTTTGCATTCATCTTTGAGTTTTTCAGATTCTCTCTCACGTTCCAAAGTCATATTATCCATTAGTGTTTGAACTTGGACCAGTTCTTTCTTTAATACAGCAACATCTTCAATACCAGGTCTCTGAAGCTGCAAAACATATTTTAATTAAATATTGAGGTTAAAAATCTAAAATAATATGCATTCTATAATTCACCCAAAAGAGATAAAAATGAAAACAACAATTATTTTCAATTTTTAGACTCCAAACTTCAAACACTGATACCATCGCCCAATAGCTTAACCCTGCCTTTACCTTCTATTTAACAGTAACAAGCTGCACTCTAACAAATTCACAAGTACCCTTATCAGTTCATCTTCTTTGCCTTCCCCAACAACCTGTGCACATTAATGACGACAATGGCTGACACATGGTGCATCTCTACCCTGAGAAAGTGGCAGTGAACATAAGAAGTGCTCTAGCTGGGGGAGCTCCTGCCTAGCATGGAAAGAGAAGAAAAGATGCAAGCCTGTTTTGGGTTTTCAGCCAGATGCTTGTGATTCAGTATTTCATCCATGTATTTACCGAGTGCCACATAAAGAAAGATGCCAAAGACAGGTCTAAGGTGGTAAAGCCTAAGGAGAACATGGTACCACTGATATATACAATCAGGGAAGAAATATGATGACTTGAATTTTATACTTGTAGAATTTGAAATGAAAACAAGAAAACTACATGGAATTATATAATTGAAGTGTGAGGAAATATCTGGTATAGTGATGTATGCCTTTAGTCCTAGCACTCAGGAAGCAGAGGCAGGAAGATCTCTATGAGTCGGAGGCCAGACTTGTCTACATATCAAGTTCCAGGCCAGCCAAGGAAACATAGTGGGATACTGTCTCAATGGAACAAATAAGGTAGGAAGAAATGAGAGCACCATAGAAGTGGGTATAAGAAATACTTAAAAAAACAGAACAATTACATCTAGACAGAAACAATAGTATTTAAAGGAGCTAAATGCACAACATTCATAACATCTTTTTTCTTTTTAAAAATTATAGAGTGTATGTAGGTGGAAGGATATTAGAAAAATTTTATTGCCTCCAGCTCATGAAACTATTTTTTAAATATTTCTTCTTTTGTATAATCAACTCAAAGCTTTAAATATCCTAGGCAATCATATATAGTTCATCTTAATTAGGAAGCTATAAATTAACATTATAATAAATGTTCCTAAATTACCAGTTCAGTTTTCAGATCCTGAATTACAGTTGTCTGTTTGTTTAATTCTTCAGTCAAATGTGTCACTTTTTGTTCAGCAGCTTCTCGGAGACTCTTTTCCTCATCATATTTTGACTTTATATCTAATTAAAGATAGCAATACAAATATTAGTTGCATAATATTAACTCTGAAGGAAAGTTTTAAAATTCCCATATATTTATCTGCAAGCTTATACACACTTAAGTTCAATTTACATTCCTTACGTACCCATAAATATACTGAATGATTACGTTAAATTCCACCTAATACTATACTACTGAGCATTTTAACATACATGCTTATATTATTTTACCAAAAAGCACATAATTTTTAAACAATACAGTATGAATAATTGATAGTATAACCAAGTATAAACTCTTTAATATGTTGTATAATTAATTTACTTTAGAAGTTACTTCTTAATTATCAAAAAAGAAAATGTATCTTCTTTTAAATTTCAAGAAGAATCTACCAAAAAAAACCATTGAAGGACAAGCAAAATAATTTACACAGAAACTCCTATTATTAAAGTCCATTAATAACTTCCACAGCCTACAACAAATGTTTTATCACACTTAAAATAGTAGATGGTTTTCTTGGGCATATAATGATGAAAAGATAGTAAGAATTATTGATTGGCTAAAAAATTCAGATTTAATATACCTGCAATTTCAGTAGCAAGCTGGGCTGCTTTCTGTTCAAATAGATCTTTCATCTGCTTAATATTAAAATTTTCTGTTTGGGCTTCTTCTAATTGTTGTTCTAAAGAGTTTAGTTCTAAAAGAGAGCATAGCAATGTGTTAAATGTAATGTCAGTTACATATGCTAATTTTTTATTATATCACAATCATGTAGTGGCATAGATAACCAATGTGAATCCAATTCTAATTATAAGAATATTTTCACATTTCAAAATATGGAGCATATGCAATTCATTTAGAGCACAAGTCAAAAACATAATTTATAAATAAAAATAACAGCCTACAATATCTACAAATATGTGTTCAGAAATTTGCTTTTGCCTTTTAAAATTCAAATCTTTACAACTAAAAGCTAGAAGAGAACCTGTGTTTCTCCTGCCTCTCTCAGTCTTCCAAGTGCTAGGATCACAGACATGGACCATCAAAGCCACTTTAAAATATATTGTGTTTCAGACAAAGTTATAAAGTGAATCTAGAACAACGGTGGCTGTAAAACACATTAATAAAAGTGTGCAGTCAATGCCTAGTACTACCACTTCATTCTTACATAAATTCCTTAAATATAACATATAATCTCCAATTTAATCTGGATTATTCACAGAGCACCCATCCACATCACAGCAGCTACAAAAATGCTAGTCTCATCATTTACTTCAAGAGGCACAGATATATCATTCCTAATATAGACTTGAATTTTCTTTAAGCAATCAAATTGTAGTAATATTCCAGAAGCTTATCCTTAACTTCAGAATACAATGAACTAGTTAACTGACTAAATTATGACACAGGTAACTACCTAAACCCAAAGCATAAACAATATTTTTATTGTTTCACAAACATCAATTATAAATATCAAATTCCTTTATCAGGTATTAAATAAAACACAGAATGAAAAAGAAGGAAAAGAAAACTGAAAAAAATTGTCTTTAATTACCTGCAGATGAATCAGTCACCAATCCATCAGATTTAGCCTCCTTAATTAAAACAGAACACATAAATAAACAGTACAATTGCCACGTCTGTAAGGTTAAGTAGAAGAATCTGAGGGTTCTTCTACTTTTGGATCTATAAGGTGTCATTAGATGGCGAGCATAATTTCACTGCAGTTGGCCAGTCCAAGAACTTTTTATATTCTTCTAAAACTCTTAGTGTTATGCATTAATTGACAGCCAGAATTTCATAACATCAGTAATAAATTAATAACAGAACTCCCTGCCACCTCCAGAATACAGTATCAGCTCTGTCATATTCCATATGTAAGCTGCTGGCATCAACACCTGAAGTGCTCTTAGTAAGGGATCCTTTTCATCACAACTCTCTTTGGAAAGCATCACTCTTAAGAAACCATTCATAAAGTACACCTAATTTAATGTGATTCTACAACAGCTGAGAAATTATTAATAGATTTTAGTAGTTGTGGCATTGACTGGATGGTTAATGTAAGCCATCTATTGAGTGTATTCCCTGTAAGATTTGTTTGAAGTATGACCTCTACATATAAGAGGGAACCCACACTCCAAAGCCACAGAGAAACCCTGTCTCCAAACACCAAAAAAAAAGAAGGAACCCACATATATGCATGTATGCACACACACTATAAATTTAAAGCATAGTAATAAACATTTTAACCCTTAGAAAACCCAGCATAGTGGTACATGCCTTTAATCCCATCAGAGGCAAAAGCAGAGGAAGAAAAGCCTCTAAGAGTTTGAGGCTAATTTGGTCTGCATAGTGAGTTCCAGAACAACCAGGGCTATGTATAGACCTTGTCTCCAAAACAAACAAACAAACAAATAAATAAAAATAGAAAACAAACAACAAAGATTGTAATCCTTAAGGGCAACGCTATCCTGAACTAGAAACAAAAATTAGTATCTCTTATACATTGTTTTTATATTTTAAAGGGTTAAACCCATCTCAAAGAATAAAGGATTTCCCAATAAACCATTTTTTTAATTTCACTTCCCATTAGTTTTAGACATATTGACTGCTAATACTCATCAGTATTTGAAATGCATTTGTTTCCAAATGGAAAGTTGCTGCAAAGACAAGTTATAACTTACACTATTGAGAATTTATTTAAACTAATGAAATACAATACACTTCCACATGCCTATAATCCCAGCACTCTGAAGACAGAGGCAGAAGGATCAGGAATTCAAGGCTAGCCTCAGCTTGGCTAAATAATTGAGACCTTGTTACACACACACACACACAGAGTCATCTCAAATGCAGTAGTTTCCATGTTAGACAGGCAAGTGAACTATAAATACTGACTAATACTAAAGCCCCTTTAAACAGTAACAAGACTGGTATCTTTTTATTCACTGCTTGTTTCTCCCCTTTTCAATCCAGATAGTAATTCTTGGTACAAAGATTAAATTGCAAAAGGAAAATGCTAGCCAAAAGTTACAATGTGCTGAGATACTATGTAAGCAGATTATGAATCACTTACAAAGGCTGTTGGAGGACATCTACTTTATTTTTAAAAACAAAGACTATCTCTGTACTTACAAAAATTCATTATTCTTTTTCTTTCTAAAATATAACTGGTAGACTTTTACATAAAATCACATTTGATAAGGTACCTAGGTGTTGAAGATAATGAAGCAGAAACTTCTAGGATCCAGTGACAAAATGACATCATGTATTGTCCATGCTTATTTATGATCCCAGTAAAACAAAACTACTGTGATACCACTGATATACAATTGTATATAGTATTTAAGATTTGATAATTGTAATAAGCCACTGTGGCTAGCAAATGTGTTTATTATATTTTATTGGTATTTCAGAATATACTATCTAATTGGAAAAAAAAGTTTAGAGTGAAAACGCACCAGGCAAGTCTTGAAGGGAATTCCAAGAAGGACTTGTTATCACAAAAATAGGGCACTCCATTGTTACTGTCCTTATACACTTTCAGTGGGATGAATGTGGAAGTACAGGCCAATATTTTGGTTTGAGCTAAATTTTTTAGCCACTTAAATATATTGCCAAAAAATAGAATAACATAAGCTTGATTTTTAAAAAACTGCCTATTCTTTTTTAAAACAATGCACATACACACACACACACACACACACACACACACACACACACACACACCGCTTTGGAAGGATAGATAGATGGATGAATGGATGGATATATAGATAGATAGACAGACAGACAGACATGATTGATAGATGATAGATAGATAGATAGATAGATAGATAGATAGATAGATAGATAGATGATTTATAGACAGACAGACAATTTTTTTTAATTATAGATGCAGATCCTCCAGTCCTGGAGTTACAAGCAGTTGTAAGCTGCCTAATGTGTACGCTGGGAACTGAACCAGGGTCCTTTGCAAATGCACCGAGCATATTTAGTAGCTGAGCCACCTCTACACACACACACACACACACACACACACACACACACACACACACACACACACACACACACACACCGGTCCCTTTTTGAAAGAGGGTCTTGTTATGGAGTCTAGGCTGTCCTTAACTCACAGTCTCTGGCCTCAACCTTCCAAGTGCTGGGATTACAGACATGTGGTATCACACCTGGCATAACAAATTCTTAATGAAACATGTTTAAGAAGCCGTGTCTTTGCTTTCCATATTTGCTTCTATTCATTAAAATTATACAGGCTATCTAATAAACTATTAAACAAGGAAATCAATTAGGAAGTCATTTATATAAAGCCCCTTACAAAAGAATATAAAGCTCAATTTTCAACAATGAAAACAAACAACTACTAAGCATGCTTCAAGAATTTAAAATGCAATTACTTGCTGCTGTAGCCCTTGATATTTTTCTAATTCTTTCTTTAATTCTTCTGAGTACCATTTTTCTTCCTAATAAAAAAGATTTTAATTAGTAAATTTTAAAAGTTTTTAATCTGAAACTCTGAATAAACAAGCATTACCATGTTTTCTTACCTTAAGTGAGGCCTGTAGGTCTTGGACCTCTTGTCTGAGTAGTGTTATGTCATCTCTAAATGTGCATGGGAGAGGAAACATCTCTTAGTTACAAGTCATAAACAGTAACTATCTATTAATGTTACAGCTTCCTCAAGTACTCTAAAAATCCTGAAGCCTCAGTGTAGGAGGAAAACAATGTTACTAGAGGCGCATACAGATGAGATAATAAAAGAGCGGTTTACCACACCACTAACCATACCCACTTTAGGCATGACTAAAGACATATACGGACGGACATAAAGATGTATACGGACATAAGCGGTCAACTACATCACTAGCCAGGCCCACTTTTGGGCATGGCTAGGGGCGTTACGGGGGGGGGGGGGAATAGTATAAAAGACTGAACAACGGAAGTCTTGGTATCTTTTTCCAGCTTTCGGCTTCCAGTTCGGCGGCGGAAAACTACTGGGCTCATCTGGGTTACTTGTTTGGTATCTTGTGAGTAATTTCTACAATAAATACTTAGTTTTACTTTCAGTAAGTGTGCCGTTTATCGTTGCAGCGTCACCTCAGCCAGGTGATGATAGTGCATGCCTTTAATCCCAGCATTCAGAAAGACAGAGGCAAGCAGATCTCTGTGAGTTTGAGGCCAGCCTGGTCTAGAGTGAGTGCCAGGATAGACTCCAAAGCTACACAGAGAGCCCTGTCTCAAAAAACCAAAAAACTGAAGCCTTTCGAAAAACAATTTCATTCTTAAAGCACATGCTTTACAAATAAGAACAATTCTCATGAAAATAATCAGGTAATTGTCAAGTGCCTGGATCAGAAACAAAATATCTTCTATCAACTTCCCTAGTACAGTTTGCATAAAATCTAATGCTGTCTGCAGGACTATGAAGTGTGCACAATCTGCCCCTCACCATTCACTCTCCCTTCACTCACTTGGCTGTACTATCACTGACTTGCTTCTGTTCCTTCTCACATTCTGGTACTCTCACCTAAACTCCAACTGACAAGAAGGTAAGCAAGACAGGCTAGACAAGGGAGGGAGACCATGCTGCATGAGGACAACTCCAAATTAGGTAACATGAGAACACTTCAGAAAGTAATAAATCTTCACATAGCGATTACAGCACATGCACGTTCCATGACAATATCACATTTCCAAACCAGCATGCTGTACCGTGTCAAAGCAAGATCAGCCTCTCCACCATGACCTGCGTCATTACCAGCATCATGAACTGCCTGATAGTGTTTGAAAAGTTCATCTGCAGAGCCAAGAGCTTTCATACACTGGGGACATATGAAGCCCTATAAAAAGAAACACAAAAAAAGATTTTTAAATATTTAATTTTGAAGAATAACACTTTGCATTTATGAAATATGATCAAATGTAATTAAATAAACTGTAATTTATAATGTTATGCCCCAATTCATATCAAGCAAAGAAAGGTATTTTCACAAAACACGGCCATTTTTTAGGTTGTATTAACTAATAGCCAAAGAAATGAATTCTAATGTGAGACATCAGTTCTCCTCCTCCTCCTCCTCCTTTTTCTTTTTAAGATAGGGTCTCACTACATAGCCTTGACTGGCCTGGAACTCCCTATGTAAATCAGGCTGGCCTTGAACTCAGAGATCCACCTGCCTCTGCCTTCTGAACACTGACTCTACTTTAGATTAGCTGAGAACAATTTCCACCACAATCTTCCACTCTCTGTATATGCCCATTAGTTAAGTAACATTTGTCCTAATCTATTTCATAGGACTAGGGGAAAAAAGTAATATTATGAAGTAATCTTGTCACCAAGGGAAAAAATCAAGACTGTAAGTGTCTCACACAAAGCTCTATTAGAGAAGTGCTGTAATCAGAGAATACCATTAACTACGTGATGGTACCCACCTGTAATCTCAGCACTTGGAAAGCAGAGGCAACAGGCTCAGAAGTTCAAAGTCATCCTCTGCTACATAATGCATTTAAGACCAACACCGGCTACATGAGACCCTACCTCAAAATAAACAAATAAATAAAATAAAACCTGCTAGCCAGAAGCTAACATTATAAAAGTCCAAAGCTAATATAACATGTAATACATGATTGAGACAATCATCAATAGTGGTGTTCAAGATGCTGCTTTAGACCCATGTTTTCTGTGTTTGGGTTACAATTCAGGAATGAATACTAAAGTCAACATACTAGGTTGTAACTTTATTATTCCACAGTAGAATATATGAGAGTTTATTTTACTAACAGTAAACAACATATTTATTACAGTGGGTGTCATCAAAAACATCTGAGAAGCATCCTTACAGATTAACTGTTAGAGGTAGCTAGAATATGAAAAACTATTTTTCTATTGGATCCATATGTCCTACACAATCTCATTTAAAGCTCAGGCCTATTTATTTACTGTATTACAACCCCTATTTTGTAGGACAGGAAATTCAGAAAAGCTAAAAGACTAAGATATAATTTTGCCGGCCTTTCCCTATGTTTCCAATACATTATACTACCTCTTGAATGTGATGACCTAACCCTTAAAACAGGTCCTTTTATCCTCTAACTTCACAGTGACTTGAGTCAACAGGTATTACTTATCATTTTGAGTATAAAAATAGTTCTGTGGAAGACTCAAATGGTAAAATATAGCCCCAGCCCACACACACACAAAAGATCAATGACACACATGGAAAAGTATCTTTTCATGGAACTGAATCAATTATTAAACAAATGTCATTAAATTTACCACTGTACAACTATTTAACTGTAAACTGTATGAGCAAGTAAAAGGCTACAAGAACTCTCATTAACACTCTCATGGTTCTTTAAGAATTATTTGTCTGAGAAGAATATAAATTATTACTAGCATACAAAGTATTATATTTTATTTTATTTCAGCATAATCAATATACAAAAGAAGTCTCACTCAAATTTTAATCTCTGAAAATTTGCCAGGTTTTCTATGAATAATAAAGAAATAGTTACCCACACTTTGCACACCCATGTACTCCCACAAAGAGCTCCAAGGCTGCCTTACTCTTTTAAAAACTACCAAAGAATGTCAATTCTGAAAACACTCCCAGATTCTACCAATCCAACCTATCCATTACTCTAAACTATAAGAATATCCCCATGCAATCTATTTTGCAGGGGTACATCATATTCTAAAATATTTAAATTCACTGAATCAAAGATAAAATATCAATGAATACCTCATGAAGTAATTATGTTTACATGATTCTGCTAATTTGGTTGGGATAAATAAACTTGTATTGCGTTAAGTAAGAGCATGCAGTTCTAAAATATCCTCTATTTCAGATGCAAAGGTGAAACAGAATGCATATGAGGGTGGTGGTTCAGGACACATCTGCATTGTAAGCAACGAGAAAGGAAATTATGACTTTGAAGAGTCTATGAAACTAGGGTTTGCTTTATGGGGATGTGGGAATGGCCATCCTTTCTTCATTCTATAAAGTCTAAAACACTTCCCTGTAAAGATCACCATGTCCATGAGTATGCTCATTCAAGCAGTGCATTGCTCTCCCCACGATAGCTACTCAGAACTCACTTTCCTTTTGGAGAAAGAGTCCTTGCCACATTTCTTATTTGTATCATAACTTCTACTAATAACTAATAAGCAAGTTATAAAGTGTTCCTCAAAAACTACACCCCTATTACATTATTTACCCTGTACATTTTTAGGTTTTTTTTTGTTGTTGTTGTTGTTGTTGTTGCTTGTGTTATTGTTGAGACAAATTCTCACACTGTCGATGAGACTGGCCTTAAACTTATAGGCCTCAGCCTCTTGAACGCTGGGATTACATGTGTGAACCATAGATTTTTAACTGTTGTCTCTAATCAAGAGTTTTGATTCTAGATACCCATGCATGTCAGAAGATTAATGACGACATTGAGGTGTACCACTGTACCTCTAAAACTTCTACATACCAGGTTAGTACCTCAGAAAGAACTAATTTGTTCCTACGAGAAAACTTTACAAGCAATATTCCAAATGCATGAACTGTTCCTGTGATTAGATTTTGAATATTTAAGTAAATTTTGGCAAAGCTGTTAAATCTTTGTAAAGTACATATATTTAATCACCTTCTTAATTGTAATTAAACTTTGCATGAGTCATAACAGTATAAGTATTTAATTAGTCAATTAGTATCTTCTGCTCTTAATTCCAGCAAGACTCTTTAATTCCTATACCTACTTTTTTACTTTGTTTTACATTTCAAAATCATTTGTAAAAAATAATTAGTATGATATATATAGTAATGTTATAGTGGGTAATAAAAAAGGTTATCAAAGCTACAATACCCATTTTAAAATGTAATTAGCTTTTACTAATTGCCCATGAATATAGCAAGTGAACTTGTTAGCTCATGGAATTAGATACTAAATCTCAATATGAGACCTTTTTTTTAAACTATACTCAAGGCACCAAGTTTGCTAGACACACAAACAGGGAAATATTCACTAAAAAGTGCTAAAAATAGCCAACTACATCTTTCCAAATTTGTCATCAAATTTCAAACACTAGTTTAAGATTAAAAGCAATAAATTCCTTGTTCAAGAATGCTATCTGCAATCCTCTCTTGGATCCAATGCAGTTAGGAACTTACCCTAACTTGAAAGTCAAGGTACTCCTGTTGAACAGGGTCCTTTTAGGTCATAAGGGAAGCTCTTACATGGCAAGTTCCTGAGACTGTCACTTCCACTTAAATACAAAGAAGAAAACCTGGCTCATCTACTAGACAACTGACAACATACTGAACATATGTCTAAACCTCCTTTGCCTCCATCTTTGCTTGCCCTGCTTCAATCAGTTAGCCTGTGCCATCCCACATTTACCAATGTAAGCGTTCTTGTGAACTCTTTTCTGACTGCCCCCACCTGAATTAGCCATCTGTCCTTTTCACACATAACATCTATCATACAGACTTGCTGATGTGCCCACTTTATCTTTTCTCTCCTTTACAACTACAATATCTGCTCTACGTAAAGTACTGCATTAACATGTTAAGTGAGTTTACTTGCTTGTTTTTTTACATATGATTGCTTCATAGAAAAACAGTCATACTTCATAGGCTTTCATAGTACCAAATTTCATTCATTTATGAGATATGTAAAAGAACTAAAGAAGTTATGCTTTTTTTGCGGGGCGGTGGTGGCACACGCCTTTAATCCCAGCACTCGGGAGGCAGAGGCAGGTGGATCTCTGTGAGTTCAAGACCAAGCCTGGTCTACCGAGTGAGTTCCAGGACAGGCTCCAAAACAATACAGAGAAACCCTGTCTCAAAAAACCAAAAAGAAAAAAAAAGTTATGCTTTTTTTGTTTTAATACCAAATTTTAAAAAGAAACATATTAGCAAGATTATCAGAGAAATTCTTTCCAGCCTAAAAATAATTTCCCCTAAAACTTTGCCCACCCAGCCTTAGATATGCACCAGCCCAACACTATAGAGCAGTGGTTCTCAACCTGTGTGTCACAACCCCTTTAGGGGTCAGATGACCCTTTCACCAGAGGTTGCCTAAGACCATTGGAAAATACAGATATTTACATTATGATTCATAAGAGTAGCAAAATTACAGTTAGGAAGTAGCAATGAAATAATGTTATGGTTAGGGGTCACTGCAACATGAGGAACTGTATTAAAGTTCTCAGGAACGATGGGAACTGGTGCTGTGGAGGAACGTTTTACTTGTCACTACGTGTGATGATGTGCATTTCAACATCTCCAGTAGAGCAAAACAAAGATGGAAACAGTCTTAGAATCAGGTTCAAATGCTGTTCATACCCTTTTCTATGCAAGAACCATTTTAACTTAAATGCTTTGATAATTCATTAATAACACATAAATAATAGATAATCCTACAAATACTAAAATACCACTTAAATTTCAAGTTTCATGGCAAAATGTATGTAAACATATTAAGCATTTACATTCATTTACAAATTCACAACAGGGCAGCTGGAAACAATAGGAGAGACAAAGCAGACTATCCCAGAGCCTTTACCTTATTGATTCTTCTCTTAAGCATGCATGATTAAAGCAGTCCAGATTCCCTTCCAGCACAAAGGGGAACCAACACCAGGACAGGGAAAACAAAGCTATTTTGAGCAACCCAGAACCAAGCTGCCAAAACAAAATATAGAGGACCCACAGTCACACTGGAGTCACTAAGAAGTTCCTGTCCTCTTGTCTCTTGTTCAGCATGTACTTCCTGGTAATGTTCCGACAAGTCAATAGCAGTTACACATCTTTTCATACACAATGGGCAGATGAAACCCTGTGAAATAACAACTTTTAGTTTGTTTTTATTAGGATAAGAATGGTTCCATAGGCTCAGATATTTGAATGCTTACTCATCAGGAAGTGGCACTACTTGACAGGGATTAGAAGGTGTGGTCTTGTTGGAGTAGGTGTGGCTTTGTTGAAGGAAGTGTGTCACCAGGGGTGGGCTTTGAGATTTCAATGACCCAAACCAGGTCGGTTGGTCGGTCAGTTGGTCTGTCTGTCTCTCCCTCCCTCCCTCCCTCCCTCCCTCCCTCCCTCCCTCCCTCCCTCCCTCCCTCCCTCCCTCCCTCCCTCCCTCCCTCCCTCCCTCCCTCTCTCTCTCTCTCTCTCTCTCTCTCCCTCTCTGCTTCTTGAGGATCTGGATGTAGAGCTCTCAGCTTCCATAACTACCTTCATGCCACCATGCTCCCTGCCATGATGAAAAAGGACTAAATTTCAAAAACTATATAAGCAGGTCCTAATTAAATGATTTTTTGTAAGAGTTGCCTTGATTATGGTGTCTCTTCACAGCAACGCAACACTACGACATTTCTCTCTTTTCTTATTTAATTTCAGGTGATGAGAAGCTAACACAACATGGAAAATGCACATATTACCCAGTACAAAGGAAACATTTGGTAAACATTATCTAGTTCCACCATCATTATTCTGTGCATGTGAGTGTGCTTGTAATTAGCATGCGTGTATGTGTAGGGGTGCATGTGTGGTACATGTATGTGGGTACACATACATGTATGTGCAAGTGTATGTGGAAATCAGAAGAGAACCTTAGGTGTCATTCCTCATCATTGCCTCTTTTCTTTTCTTTTTTGAGACAAGGTCTCTCACTAGCCTAGAACTCGCCATGCAGACTCAGACTTTGCTGGCTCTCCAGCATACTCTTGGGACTGCCTGTCTTCCCTAGTGCTGGATTTACAAGCATGCATGACTTCAATTTTATTTAATATTCTTGTGATGGAACTCAGTTCCTCCTTGAAAGTACTTTACCAGCTGAGGTATCTCTCCAAATTCCATTATTCCTTTGTTTATATCCCTTAAGCGAATTATCCAGAGGATAAAAGCAAGAAACACAAATTCACCTTTTTTTAACTGGTCAAAGAGTTATCTTCCAGACACCCAAGTCCCAACTCTTAGAACTACAGAACAGCACTTCTTTAAAAGATGACTCTTGTTTGTTTTGCTTTCTTTTGGCCACTAAAGGTAGAGTATGCTTTACTCTGCTGTTACATACCTGTTGATGGTAAATGTCCACCCTATCATCTAGTCTTTCATTAAAACACATTTGCTATATGGTTACTTTGCTCTAGCCATTGTCAAGTGAGAATACAAATACCCTAAGAATACAAAGGTATAGCAGTATTATTTTTAATGCATGTACTTTAAATGCATGTACAAAGGAAAATTTCCCATCAAAACGTCAATACATGTGGAAAAAACATTCTACACAAGCAAGATCCATTCAGAGGGAAAAGGGAAGGGAGAAAGGGGCAGACAGCAAGGCAGCATATACACCAGTGTGGTATTTAGTAGAATAGTGGACAGCAGGCACCCTGCTTTGTTCTTGGGCTTGGAAGATTAACTTAACATTTAAGGCTTTTACCTTAACATTTAAGTGATGGTAACCACAGGTTTTCTTTATCTCTATTTCTTAAAAATAAAAATAGCAATAAACTTAAAAGACTCTGTAACTGAAATCAGGCCTATTCACATTTTCACTAGTTTTTAGTAAGCTAACAAAGATAAAATAAAATTTAACTGGTCAGAAATGAAAACATAAAATGCTACAAAAACTATGGCACAACTTCTAATGCTTAATTAACATGGTTTATGATGGTGCACACATACACATTATGTGTAAGTTCTTTATAAAAAGACTAAAATATGCCAGGTGGTGGTGGCACATGCCTTTATTCCCAGAACTCAGGAGACAGAGGCAGGTGGATCTCTGTTAGTTTGAGGCCAGCCTGGTCTACAAAGCTACACAGAGAAACCTGCCTAGAAAAATTAAAAAAAAAAGACTAAAATATTCTTCATTAAATTGGGGTGACAACATAAAAGATAAACTAGTAATATTTCAAGTTTCAATCTTAACATGTAGTTTTTCAATATTACAACTAAATGTTGGTATATTTGTATAACTATAACTCACATTTTAATAATACAACTTATGAGAAATTTCCCTGTGAACATAATTTAAGTTTCCAATCATTACTATAAATATTTGCTAATTTTAACAGTGAATTTTATTCTCTACTATATTTTCATACCTCTGAGGAACTTTCATTATTGTCATCCACAGTATTTATAGGAGTTGCTGATGAATCTAAATCAGAACCTTGAGAGCCAACTCTCCCAGGGGTCTGAAACAGAGAGGAGAAAAAAAATACATGTGAATATATTCATAAGCTGTGCAACATAATAAACAATGATTCAGAACAGCCAGCAGTACCAACAGTGTCTCTTCTGGAATACTGACCTTCATTCTCTGCATATCAGGATCTCTACACATGCATTTTTCAATTTTCATTCTTTTTAACTACAGTATTTCATAACCTTCAATCCACTTTCATAGTGGATTTAGTCATAATGATATCTCTGTGACAGGTGAAACAACTTGTCTCTATAGAGAAAATATTTAAAGCTGCTAAGTGACTTGCTTATGACACTTGCTATGACTGTTAACAACCACTACCAAAACTACAGCAACAACAAACAGAAAAAACCACAAGAGAAGCAGAACTAAAATGCTGATCTTGATTCCTCTTGCAGTGCTCTCTTCACTACATAGACTCTAAATGCAGGAGTGGAATAACATGCTACTCAAATCATCTATCTAGTTACCCATTCGTCTATCATTCAGACCACCATTACCAGTCTATCTCCAACACTTGCTACGATACCACCAAGAATACATCTCATAAATTAAATGTCTTTTGTGCCCCCAGCAGTACTTTTCCCTTAACATTATTGTTTATTAATAGCTACATGTTACAGTAAATTAATTTGAAACCTAGTAAAACACTAAAAAGAGATTCAAAGTACAAGAACTAACTCAATAATAAAATTGTCCTCAGATACCCACAGACGGTGGGGGGGGACTGCAAGCTCCCCACTTTATCCAAGACTAAAGAAAGGCACATGACTAACAAATAGTGGGAAATGCTTTCACTGGAATGGAACTATGTGGTTCCAAATCGCTGTTCAATGCTGCTTCTTTGTTAGAAATCACTGCAGAAATGTACAGGCACCCAAGACTGAGACCAATTCACTAAAAGTTTTCTTCAACACACAAAAACATACTTAAAATAAGACATCAGGGAGACTAGGAAACCAGAGGAGCCAGGGAGTCCAGGGAAGCAGCTGTTCTGGAGGCGGCATCAGGTACAACAGGCCCTGCTTCTGGGCCTGTGTTCCAGTGCCTGGGGATCGCCTGGGAACTGCACAGAGCTTCCAATCCCTGCTGGAGCGAAACACCCCAGTTTCCAGGACTTCTCTCCCACCAACGAGACCAGGAAACCAGAGAAGCCAGGGAGACCAGGGGAGCAGCTGTTCTGGCCGGCCGCAGGATCAGAACGAGGACAAGGAACAGAAGAACAACCAGATTATTGGACTTGCTAGCACCCACCAAAAGGGAACTCTGGTCCCCTAACCACCAGACCAGTAAGGGGCTCTTTCTGCACCCACTAGAAGAAGAGATGGGAAAGAGACAATACAAACACACACTCAGCAACAGAAAAACACATATGACATCACCAGATTCTAGAGACTCAACACCAGCAAGACCCCAACATTCCAATGCGAACGAAGCAGAAGAGAACGACCTTAAAAGCACTTTCATGAAAATGATAGAGGCCCTAAAAGAGGATATAGGAAAATCCCTCAAAGAAATGGAAGAAAAACAAAGCAAAAAATGCAAGAAATGAAAGAAAAAACAAACCAAAAAAAAAATGCAAGAATTGGGAAAAAAAACAAAAAAGGCAGGAAATGGAAGAAGAAACAAAGCAAAAAATGCAAGAAATGGAAGAAAAAACGAAGCAAAAAATGAAAGAAATGGAAGAAGAAACATACCAAAAAAGGCAGAAAATGGAAGAAGAAACAAAGCAAAAAATGCAAGAAATGGAAGAAAAAACAAAGGAAAAATGAAAGAAATGGAAGAAGAAACAAACCAAAAAATGCAAGAAATGGAAGAAAAAGCAAACCAAAAAATGCAAGAAATGGAAGAAAGAACAAACCAAAAAATACATAAAAGGCAACAAATGGATGAAAAGATGAACTGAAAATTGCAAGAAGCAATGCAAACACTGCAAGGGTTGAAAACTGAAATAGAGACAATAAAAAAAAACACAATCTGAAGAAAGGCAGGAAATAGAAAAGCTGGGCAAACAGTCAGGTACTACCAATACAAGCATTACCAACAGAATAGAAGAGATGGAAGAGAGAATCTCAAGTGTTGAAGATACACTAGGAAAAATGGATTCATCAACCAAAGAAAACCTTAAGTCCAACAAATCCCTAACACAAAACATCCAGGAAATATGGGACACCATGAAAAGACCAAACCTAAGAATAATAGGTATAGAAGAAGGAGAAGAAAACCACCTCAAAGAGACAGAAAACATATTCAACAAAATCATAGAAGAAAACTTTCCCAACCTTAAGAAAAGCATGCCAATGAAGGTACAAGAAGCTTACAGAACACCAAATAGAGTGGACCACAAAAAAAAGTCCCCTCGCCACATAATAAAGACGCCAAATATACAGAATAAAGAAGAATATTAAGAGCAACTAAGGAAAAAGGTCAAGTAACATATAAAGGCAGACCTATCAGAATTACACCTGACTTCTCCATGGAAACTCTGAAAGCCAGAAGGTCCTGGATACATTTTCTACCAACACTAAGAGACCACGGATGCCAGCCCAGACTACTATACCTGGCAAAGCTCTCTATCACTATAGATGGAGAAAACAAGATATTCCATGACAAAACTAGATTCACGCAATATGTACCCACTAACCCAGCCCTTCAGAAAGTTTTGGAAAGAAAACACCAACCCAAGGAAGCTAACTAGAACCAGAAAAACATAGGCATTAGAGAATCCCTCTCTACCAACAGCCAAAAGAACAAAGAGGTGAAATTCCACCAACAACAACCATTGCAAATCGAAGAAGGATGAGCAATCAATGGTCATTAATATCCCTCAACATTAATGGCCTTAACTCACCCATAAAAAGACACAGGCAAGCAGAATGGATTCGAAGACATAACCCTTCCTTCTGCTGCATACAAGAAACACACCTCACCCTCAAAGACAGACATTACCTGAGAGTTAAAGGTTGGGAAAAAATTTTTTAATCAAATGGACCCAAGAAACAAGCAGGGGTAGCAATCCTAATATCTAACAAACTAGACTTTAAAATAAAATCAATCAAAAGAGATGGAGGTCATTACATACTCATCACAGGTGAAACCCACCAAGATGAAGTGTCTATCCTGAACATCTATGCCCCAAATACAAAGGCATCCACATTTGTAAAAGAAACATTATTAGAACTTAAATCACATATAAAGCCCCACACAGTTATAGTGGGAGATTTCAACACACCACTCTCACCACTAGACAGGAATTCCAGACAGAAACTTAACAAAGAAGCAAAGTGTCTAATAGAAGTAATGACCCAACTGGGATTAACAGATATCTATAGAACATTTCATCCACATAAAAAAGAATATACCTTCTTCTCACCACCACATGGAACCTTCTCAAAAATCAACCACATACTTGGCAACATATCAAACCTCAGCAGCTACAAAAAATTGGAATAACTCCATGCATCTAATCAGACCACCATGCTTTAAAATTAGAATTCAACAACAACACAAATTTCAGAAAACCTACAAACTCATGGAAATTGAATAATGCTCAACTGCACCGTTCCTGCGTCAAAGAAGAAATAAAAAAAAGAAGTTAAAGACTTCCTAGAATTCAATGAGAATGAAGACACAACATACCCAAACCTATGGGACACTTTGAAAGCAGTGCTACGGGGGGAGGTTCATAGCACTAAGTGCCCACATGAAGAAACTGGAGAATAGTTATACTAGAGAATTAACAGCACAGCTGAAAGCTCTAGAACACATAGAAGCAAACTCCCCCAGGAGGAGTAGACGCCAGGAAATAATCAAATTGAGGGCTGAAATCAATAAAGTAGAAACTAGGAAAACAATACAAAGAATCAATGCAACAAAGACTTGGTTCTTTGAGAAAATCAACAAGATAGACAAACCTTTGTCCAAACTTACCAAACAGCAGAGAGTGAACATGCAAATTAACAAAGTCAGAAATGAAAAGGGGGACATAACAACAGACTCTGAGGAAATCCAGAGAATCATCAGGTCATACTTTGAAAACCTGTACTCCACAAAATTCGAAAATTTAAAGGAAATGGACAACTTCCTGGATAGCTATCACTTGCCAAAACTAAATCAAGAACAGATAAGCAATTTAAATAGACATATAACACCTATGGAAAGAGGAGCAGTCATCAAAAGTCTCCCAACCAAAAAAAGTCCAGGTCCAGATGGCCTCAGTGCAGAATTCTACCAGAAATTCAAAGAACAGCTTATACCAATTCTTCCTAAAGTATTCCACACAATAGAAGCAGAAGGGTCTTTGCCAAACTCTTTCTATGAGGCTTCAATAACCTTGATCCCCAAGCCACACAAAGACACAACTAAGAAAGAGAACTTCAGACCAATATCCCTCATGAACATTGATGCAAAAATATTCAATAAAATACTGGCAAATCAGAACCAAGAACACATCAAAAAAATCATTCACCACGATCAAGTAGGTTTCATCCCAGGGATGCAGGGATGGTTCAACATACGAAAATCCATCAATGTAATCCACCATATAAACAAGCTGAAAAACAAAAATCACATGATCATCTCACTAGATGCTGAAAAAGCCTTTGACAAAATCCAACACCCCTTCATGATAAAGGTCTTGGAGAAATCTGGGATAACAAGGACATACTTAAACATAATAAAAGCTATATACAGTAAACCAACAGCCAACATCAAACTAAATGGACAGAAACTCAATGCAATTCCTCTAAAATCAGGAACAAAACAAGGCTGTCCACTCTCTCCATACCTTTTCAACATGGTACTTGAAGTTCTAGCCATTATCATACGACAACAAAGGGAGATCAAGGGGATACAAATTGGGAAGGAAGAGGTCAAACTTTCACTGTTTGCAGATGGTATGATAGTTTACATCAATGACCCAAAGAACTCTACCAGGGAACTCTTACAGCTGATTAACACCTTCAGCAAAGTGGCAGGCTAAAGATCAAC